CCTTTCCTTTGTAAGGAAAGACAGGTAGGTAAAGAGCTCACGCCCATTGGAGTCTCCAAGAAGGGGCTTAAGCGATTTCTTTGGCAGAAAAAAAAAAAACAAATTAAAATCCCTAACAAAAAAAAACCTTTCACGATTTTTTATTTATTTATTTATTTATTTTAGAAACAGACCCCCCCCCCAAAAAAAAAGGCTTGTCTGGGCTCTCCAAGGCTCCCCATCACCTCGGGGTTTCCTGAGGCTGAGAGGACGTGCAGGGAAATGGTCAAAATTGGAAAGCAGGAGGCAAAGTGTGGGCTCAGGAGGCGCTGGGGGCTCCTGGCGGAGAGGCGGGCAGGGGGTGGGCAGGGTGTCCCCAGTGATGCGGTGTCACCGCTGACAGTCGCCCTGCACAGCCCGGCCAAGTCCCAGGGACCGACCCGGCACGAACCTTTCCAGCTCTCACCCGTTTATTTGGGGTTCGGTTTGTTTGTTGGGGTTTTTATTTCTGGGTAAGTTGCGCGAGAAAGGCGAGCGAGGAGGAGGAAAGGGACGGCGGCAGATTCAAGGGAAAACAGGGCGAGAAGAGGTGGTGGCGGTGCCAGGAGATACCTCCCCCCCTTTCTCCCCAGCCCCTCCGAACTCCCCCCCCGAGCTGAGCCGGGGTAAAACCCGCACCTCGACCCGCAGAGCCCGAGCAAGTCAAAGGGATGGACGCACGAGGCTGCCCTCGCTGCTGGGGGAAGGAAGGAAGGATTTCCCTCTCCAAAAGCAGGGAAGGCTTTAAAATAAAAATACGACGGGACGTGTTTGTCAAGGGACTCCGGATTTTCCAAATTCGAAAAGACATCGGCTCGCTCTCCCCCCCCGCGCCCCCCCGAATTTATCCCTCATTCCGTTTTAAGTCCCCTGCTTTATGTGAGCCCTTAAAGGGAAATATTCCTGCAGGAGCAGAACGTCTTCTTCGGCCTTTATCGAGGCCAATTTATCTGTCAATCACCAGTCTCCAATGATGGTTATTTTTATGTTCGCGAGGGGGAAAAAAAATTTATATATATATATATATACGCTCATCATTCTTTTATCTATTCCCATTTTAAAAATACTTACTCTGCGGGACTGCTAATCGAGTGGGCTGTGACGTGTGGAGGGGGAAAAGCTGCCTGGCTCTTCCACTTTGGTGGAATATTTTAAAGGGAATCCTTACAAAAGCAAGGGTTGTCCGTACCAGCAGAAGGGGAGAGGGAGAAATTAAAAAGAGGCAGAGAAGGAGAAAGAGAGAGAGAGAGAGAGAAAGGAAGGAAGGAAGGACTGGGCACGCAGAGGGAGAGAAGCACCGAGAAGCAGTGGGGAGGTTCAACCAGAGGGAAAAATATAGCAATAATGTCCGAATACACCGCAGACGAACCGCAGGACGAGCAGAAATTATCAAAGCCACGCAGCTCTAATAAGTAGCAGCAGTTTTTGTAACCTTAGCGCGGGCAGGCAAGGTCACCAAATTAGTCGTGGATGGTGCAATGTTGGTGTCACACAAAGGCAAACGTATCTGGCCAAGATTTCTTCCATTTGCACGGGAACCTGCAGCACGCGGAATTATCCAACACCCCCCCCGCGCCGCCGTGGGGTGGGAAAGCACGGGAAAAGCAGCTCGCGTTTGCGGCACGAACCCCCTTTCGCTCGGGGGCTGCCGAGAATTGAGCAGCACAAAGCAGAGACGGAGCCACTTCACCTTAAAGCGCCCTAAAGACGCGGCTCGAAGAACTAAAGCCACGGGCTGAGACCAAAGCCACGGCTCGAGGCTCGGGACGCGGCTCAGGACAGCGTTTTCCCCCCCGCCTTTCGCCGCAGAATCTCCCCCAAGGCGATGCGAACTCCCCCTAAAACGTAACGCGATGTGAACCCCCCCTAAAATATTGTCCTTTCGCGCCCGTCTCGACGTGAAACCGTCCCCATGGATGAAGGCAGAGTCACGCCGGGAAAAGTCCTCTCCGAGCGCGGGGCAAAGGGAGCAACATCCCGAAATATTCTTCTTTTCAGTGGCAGCGTCTCCAAGCCAATATCCAGCCTGGAATTGGATCACGCCTTGCTATTGAATTCGGCGGCTGCAAGGTTGTCTGGCAGCTTTTCTGCGCGCTCCAGCCGCACTCCTGTGCCTCCCCAGCAGCTTCGGGACTTGTTTAATGGGAGATTACCTCTGCTGAAATGATGGTGAACCATCACATCCCTTCCAGGCAGACTCATATCATTTCCTCTCACCTCCCCTTTTGAACGTGCGGAGGGGAAAAGAAACTTAACTTGCACCGAGCGAAACTAAGCCCTGGCAGCTCCACGAGCTGCGGGAGTATTTAGATTTATTATTTCCTGGCGAAGGGTGGGGGGGAAAAATAATCGTAACAATAAATACTAATCATTAAAAAGAAAAAAAAGAAAAGGAAAGAAAAGGAAGAAAGTCGGGTGGCGAATTAGGAGGTTACAGAAAATGAAGCCTTTGTCTGAGCACTGTCCTGGCTGGTTGACTTCTGACACCTTTTCGGAGCTAAATGCTGCCCATGTTCGCCCTTGTCCCTGCAAGTGCTCTGCGTGCTCAGCCCGAGCTGCCTCCCTTCCCTGTCCTGCGGGCGCAGCCGGGCTCTTCCCCTTCACTTCCAAACCTTTCTTCGCTTTCGCTTTGAGAAATTCTCCCCCCGATTGGAAGGAACGGAGACAAAAAAATAACGCTAATGAAAAGGGGAAAAAAAAAAAGAAGAAAAAAAAAAAAAAAAAGAAGGAAAAAAAAAATTGTACACAATAGATTGAATGACTCCGGAGCGGAGTCTCTGAAGAGGCTGCAAAATATTTCCTGATCCCCCCAGATGCCTCTGATTATTCCAGGATTGTCTCTAAGAGTAAATAAATACGGGGAAAGATTAATTTCAGGCCAAATACCATCCGCGAATCTCGCAGCAGCGCGACTGCAGGCAGGAAGCTTTGCCTTCCCTCCCCTGCAAAATTCTTTGGCTGCTGGAAAATCATATTTATTCGGGCTTCTTTACAGAGTTGTCACCCAGAAAAACCTCCCCGGGACAACAATTGACCGCGCATCGCTTGAGATCAACGTTAAGGCGCCAACCTGAGCCAGTATGGGAGTCACAGCTAAGGCAAAGAAAACCAGTTTTCCGCCGAAAATGACACTGCAGGAGTTTTTTACCTGCTTAAGTGCTTCCCCCCACCCGCATTACTCCCCCTCTGTTTGTTGCTAAGAATTCCTGTCTCTCCAGTGCTGGAGGTACAGCTAATAGACAATAAATTCCGAGGTGCAATTAAAGCTCAGAACAATTTCTTTAAGTGTGTTATGGTCTCCTTTTCCAAAATTTCAGGTCTCCACCAGACGAAGCCTCCTGCAGATGTTCCCAAAGCCCAGCAGCTCGTCTGCAGCGGCCGAGGAGGTGGAAAATTCAAGCTCGTCTCCCCGCTGCTCTCCAGGTTTTTCTCGGGTTTGGGTGTGATATGAAAACCCAGGTCAACAGGAGGGGAAAAAAAAATTCCCAGAGAAGTAAATTAAAAGACGAGCGAGGAAACAAGCCTGAACCCAGAGAGGCGAAGTGTATACTGCCTGAAGAAACATATTTCTATACTTCTCCCCTTCCATTTATTATGTTTCTGTCAGACACCCTGTAATTAGCATAGATAACTATAGTTGCGAGCTCCAAGTTGTGTCTGCAAATTCTATTGTTTGGCTGCTCCGGTTGCACACCAGCGAGCTTGAAAGCGAGCACAAGGTGTTAGGAAGAGCCTGGTGCCCTCGAAGAAGACAATAACCCCCCGAAATGTATGGCGGGGGGAAGGAAGGAGGGCGGAGGGATGAAGGTCGCCGCTTTAGGCGATGGATTCCAGCCCAGTCTGCGCCGCAATATCTCTGGCCTGGTGCAAATCTCCTCCAGGAGATCAGCTCAGCCTTAAACCT